TCCAGCACAATGTGATTTATGAAAAAAGGAAACAATCTTTTGACATTTTTTTAAAGTTTTTTTAGCCCAATCTAATGATGTAATATCTTTTGTAACAAGATTGATATGATGAGCAATACATCTTACTGGCAAAATATGTTTATAATTAGATACAATCCTTCTTTTTGCTGCCATCATTGCTGATTCAGCATCAGAAACAATTGCAGCAATTTTTTCTTTTCCAATATTATCAATTATTCTTAACAATTGTTCTTCGTTGAATTGAGCTGTATGCCTGTCACTTGAAAAATCATTAATTGAGTATATAAATTGGCGACGAGCTGGAGTAATAATTACAAAAGCATATATACTTTGACCAAGAGGACTTGTCCAAGAATCAATACCTTTCAAGAATGATCAAATAATTTTTATTATTACATAAATAATTAATAATTAAAATTTACATTAATAAATTTTACTAAAACTAATTTACATTAATTAATGATTAAATTTACATTAATGAATTTTACTTAAAATAATTACATTAATTACCTAAAGTTAAATTTTTGGAATCCCGCACCTCTTTTTCTATCTTTAAGGTTATGTTGGCAATCTCAGAATCTAACAGATGATTAGACAAGGTGGTACGTTTTGGAGGTTCATAGCCATTGCATAAAGTTTTTGTAAAATCACGGAAGAAAGGTGAATCTGCAACACTAAAAGGGATCCCACAACATACAAAAAAACGAACCATTGCCTGATTTGCTCTTGAAATTTTTGGTGCATCTATTCTATCACTGTCAAAATAAGAATGAAGATCCATATTATTTCCAATATTTCCACTTTGCCTTTTATTTGTAGGGCCTGTATTATCATCTGATTTAATTGATCTTAAATATTTTAATTTTACTTCTTTACTAGCCAATGGGCATTTCAGAGCCAAATGCCCTTTCAATTCAGAAGGTTTACCACGTTTCCACGACTTAAAGCAAAATTTACATTGTGCTGACAGGTGAGAGTCATGTGGAATTTCTATTGCATTAAAATAATTCCATACTGGATCTCTAGATTTACCTCCTTGTCTGGAGTTTCCAGTACTTGTATTAATTTCATAAATTGATAAATTGTCTGTTTCATCAGCCTATTTATCAAACATAATTTAATAATAAATTTTTTATAAAAACAAACAATTATTTTTTAAAAATAAATTCACCATTGTAAAGAATTTGTGAATTCAAAAACAAATTAACATTTTTCTACAAACAAATATATCTTTTATTTTTTTTTTTTTAAATAATATTAATATCATATTTATAATACAGATAATCTCATCTGAATATTTACTAAACATAATTAGCAAAAATACTTAATATAATAAAATTAATTTGTTCGCCATCAATGTTTAGTTATTTTCTTTATTTGTACATTGTACTCGTTATGAAAATGTAAATTGTAGAATATAAAAATTTAATTGTATGACGAAAATATGATTGGTTAATGTGAGATGGGATATGGGATATGGGATATGGGACGGGATATGGGATATGGGGTATGGGGTGGGATATGGGATGGGGATTGGGTGGGATTTTTACTAACCTCAAAGCCCCACCCACCCATACCCAATGGGATTGGGGATTGTCCCATATCCCATAGTATGGGCGGCAAGTATA